CGGTTCAATCCCCCAGCACCACATGCCAGCCAGCCCCGCCTCCTGCTGGGCTGAGCTGGTCACACACACACACATACACACTAATAAATAAATAAATTTTTTTAAAAAAAGAAATTGTGTGCTAGTAAAAGAAAAATTAAATTCAATTTAAAAAAGTATACACTTAGCTCACTTAATTAAAAAAGTGCACTTGGTATGTACACAAAAGAGCAACAGCTTAATAGATAAGCAAAAGCTAAAAAGTTTTTGTTCTGTTTTTCACATTTCTAACCATCTGTCTTACTTTTTTTCTCATTGCTGTGACACAATACCTAACAGCCAGAATTAAGGAAAGACCAGTTCATTTAGCTCACAGTTTGTGGAGGTTTCAGTCCATACTTAGCTGCTCCAAGGCAGTGTCACATAGAAGAGGGCAATAGTTCATGGTGGCAGAAAACAGCAAAACAGCAAGAGCAAAAGTGGGGAGGGGACGCAGAGCAGAAAGCAAGCCTCTTTCCTTCTCTTACATTGTATGCAGATGAGGCCTGGTGCAGCATTCACACTCATAATCCCAGCACTGGATCATCAACCAGTCAAAGACTTTAGAAAACCACCCCAGGACTGCATGAGGCTTTGGGGGGACATCTAGACACAAACCACAACACCATCTCTCAGTGGTCCCATGAAGAGTAATTGTACATGGGTCTCAGAAATCAGACATACAGATTCAAATTCTCTCTCCACCATTTATTTTGAGCAAATCACTTAATTTTTCCACAACTTAGGTCTTTCATCTGTAAAATGAGAACAGTGTCTCCCTCATGAGATTGTTATGAGAATTATGTAATACATTTTAAAAATTCTTACATAATGCCCAATATATTATAATTAAATCATTACTCAATGAATGGTACTGTTTTGTTTTACCAGGGATCAAACTCAGGACCTTGCACTTGCCAGGCAGGTGTGTAAACCACTGAGCTATCTCTCCAGCCCAGTACTTGGCATTTTTATTCCGTAAGTTATCATCAGCCTGGGAATGTTCAACACATGCTTCACTGATGCTTTTTTCTTTGTTAGTTCTCTTAAAAGGTGATCTTGAAGACAATGAGTTTTTAAGATGCTGAAAAGCTGAAGATATCCCTGAAAACTACCTTCCTGGTTATCTCAGCCAACTGTAAATCATGAGAAGAAGTCTCAAGAGCAAATAGCAAAATATTAGTAGCAAATACATTTTTTAAAAAAACACCTCAAGGTAACAATTATTCTCCCAAGTCACAGAAGTTAAATGTTAGAAATACAAAGTGACACAGATAAACTTCAGGAGAAACTAGTTGAGAAATAAGCATTGAACTCACATATACCTTCAATGACTCTAAGAAAACTGCGCCTTCTCATCAAACCTGTGTGGGGAGAAAATGAGATGTGTGAAAGCAATTCAGGACCTCGCCTTGGGCATCAGTGTACGACTCCATGGTGTTGCTTTTGATCTCAGCTTCTCTCCTGACATCCTCTTTTCTACTACAGTCACAAGCAGCAAGCAGAAGAGACATCCAATGAGACAAAACAGAGGGCACACGATGTCCCAGCTGGACACTCGAGTGAGACCATTTTCCTGCCCTCCATGTTTACAGGATTTTATTTGCATAGCAGAACTGCAGGAGCTCTGGATGACAGTGGCTCTGAAAGAAATTGGCAACAACACATGTGAGAAAGGACTCGGTAAGTCTTCTTGAATATATCACTATTAGACAGTCATCAACATGGGCCATGAGAATAAACAACAGCAGAGATAGAAGCAGCATCACCTGAACTGAATCTACCAATACACTTTGTGCATCATCTTCCAGGTATGTTACCATTTGCATCACATTACGGGTCAATTACAGTGGAAATAACTGGCCTGAGTCACAAGGGGATGGGGGCTCCCTCCCTGCTTAGCTACCTTCCATGTTAAATACCAGGAGGGCAAGGACCTGAGAATTCCTTTCTGCTCTGGTTTGCTCACCAGCTGCCGACAGAGTTTGGGATTCCTTTGCTCTTCTTCGTTCTGGAAATTGAACTCCTTCCTCAGTTTCAGATATGGAGAACAGGCTTGAATAGTTGTTTTACATGCCTGAGAAAAATAATAATACCATCTTACATTGAAAATATCAGGCGACACCTTGTACAGCAATTAACCAGTAAGAAGAATATATGCAGTGTGTTATTTGTTGAAACTGTACTTCTGATTTGATTTGAAACTGTCTCATTGCTATCTGTTTATCAATAAAATTTTGGAAAAAAAAAAAAAGAAAATATCAGGCGAACCAGTAGCTGTCACAGTCATTATGCATGTCCACAACACACTAGAACTTTGTGTGATATCCTATCCT